GAAGCACCACCGATCATCGGACGGTGATGAAATTCACCATAATCCGTCCTTGGGTAGACAGGATCAATGCCGAAAAGACCCCGTTTCGAAAGCTACCCCCTGGCGTGAACAGGGGTGGTTCAAAGTTAGGGGTGCGCAACCCCCGAGCTTAAGGGTTGAAATGTGCCCGCCGCGCTTTCCCTGCGTACAGCACGGCCAGAGGCATCGGCCGCAACCCGCTTGGCTGCAATTTTCGCGTGAAGACACAGTTTATCGATCAAAATGTTCAAATTTCACAAAAACCCACCCCTAAGTTTGGGTCCCTCTGGAGGGTGAACGAGTTGAGCCACGACGGTGGGGGCCGCGGAATCTGAAGCGCGGACGCTTCATTACCAGACCCTCAAAAACTCGGAATTTTCCAATCGCGCGTTCACTGCCAAATCGGTGCGGAATTTCATATCGAACGAACGAAACCGCATGGACACGCACGCTGCGGCTCCCGGAGGTAGGCAGCCCATCGTACACCGTGTGTCCCCCTCCTCGCTTTCCCCTTCGATTTCATCGCATTGCGGCGTTTTGCGAGAATAATTGCTGCGAGATCGATTAGAAGCGGCGCCAATTCTCGGGAATTGCTGAAATCGAAGGGGAAAGCGAGGAGGGGGACACACGGTGTACGATGGGCTGCCTACCTCCGGGAGCCGCAGCGTGCGTATCCATGCGGTTTCGTTCGTTCGATATGAAATTCCGCACCGATTTGGCAGTGAACGCGCGATTGGAAAATTCCGAGTTTTTGAGGGTCTGGTAATGAAGCGTCCGCGCTTCAGATTCCGCGGCCCCCACCGTCGTGGCTCAACTCGTTCACCCTCCAGAGGGACCCAAACTTAGGGGTGGGTTTTTGTGAAATTTGAACATTTTGATCGATAAACTGTGTCTTCACGCGAAAATTGCAGCCAAGCGGGTTGCGGCCGATGCCTCTGGCCGTGCTGTACGCAGGGAAAGCGCGGCGGGCACATTTCAACCCTTAAGCTCGGGGGTTGCGCACCCCTAACTTTGAACCACCCCTGTTCACGCCAGGGGGTAGCTTTCGAAACGGGGTCTTTTCGGCATTGATCCTGTCTACCCAAGGACGGATTATGGTGAATTTCATCACCGTCCGATGATCGGTGGTGCTTCATGTCAGAAGGGGTTGAAAACAAACAATCTGTTGCGCCCCTCCAAGGGGTGGCTATGAGACTTTTTGAACTGGGGTGGACTTTCCCTGCATCAGAGGAGTACAGAGAAGGACGTGTGCGCAATTTCAGAGCTGTAGGTCAAAAACTCTGGATTTGAGAGGAGGGTGGGGGTTGTAGGGGGTGGGTTCGTCGGAGAGGGCTGGCGGGGGTTGCGTTTTGTAGAGGGCGTCAAGACAAAGCGCCCTGAGTGGTTTTTAAATTTTTCAAACTCACCGCGACCCCTGTGGACCCTTCAAAAGTTGCGTTTTTCGGCACACCACCCCCTTAACGGGGGTGAAACCACCCCTAAACATCAACCCTCGCAAATGCAATTTTCCATGCGCCAAGAGGACCCTTCAAAGCTGCCCGTCACGAAGTTTCGTTAAGATCGGACAAAAACTAAGGTATTTACGGCCAGCTCCAAAAAACGTTCCTTTAATTTTGTCCACGAGTGTATTTTGAACAAAAGCACTATGATTCATAAGGAAAAATACTAACTTTGCCAGTTAAATCTAGAGCAGATACAAAGACGAAACGGTACAGACAGGCACAAACAAATGCAGAAATGCTACAAGTGCTTCAAAACCAATTTCCAAAGAAAAGAATGACTTAAAAATTTTACAAATATCGGTGTTTTTTTAAAAATTACAGTACGAAACATTATAAGTAGTAAAGGTACCCCATTTTAACGGGCCGCCATCTTGGTCCCCCATTTTAACGGGTCCGCCATTTTGAATTTTTTTTCTCAGAAATTTTTTGGGTGAAAATAATTTTTTGATTGAAAATTTTTTTGGTGAAAATTTCTTATGGTCGCCTACTTTTGCGAGGGTAACCTAACCTAACCTAAGACTCAACCTGGATCCGCCCCTTGGTGCCCCATAGTCGCGGGTTCGAACCTAAGTCACCCCTAGGGGGACTTAACCTGGATCCGCCCCTGGCGGGACAATGTTGCGGTTGCCCCTTGGTGGGACATTGAATTATGAAGCAGGTCTGTACCTGTCCGCCGCAGCTTCTTTTCGGAGGGTAACCTAACCCAAGCAGGTCTGTACCTGTCCGACGCCGCGGTCTCACCTGGTGCATGACACGGAGGCACGCACGCGAGTGCGGTCCGCCGCCTCGTTTTGAATGCCGCCGCGCCGCTAGCGCTGCCAGCGCGCTCTACCGGCCCGGTCGGAAACTCCGCCTCTGCGCATGCGCGCAGTGCGCAGCGGTGCTGTCTGCTAGCGGCACTCACCCGACTCTTTGTTTCTTTCTCTAGTTTTATTTTTCAGTTGTCTCATGACTGACGCACTCATATTCTATCATTCCTATTTTGTGTTTCACCTCGCACATTTTATTTCATGCCATGTATCTGTTTTAAATCTGAAATACGCGACGAGCGGCAGCGCCGTGTAGTCTTCAACCCAAAAGCCTCTGGCGGCGCAACAAGTTCATTGTTATTTCATAAGATTTGAATGAAGGAAGTAAAAAAATTGCATTGCGACGATTTCTACATGTGTTCGGTACATTCTGATCTCTTCGGAACGATTCAATACGTGCGCGAACGCGAAATACAATGAATTTCGCCCGTGCCGGTTTTCTGTCCTGCGCTCTGATTGGCTGCCGGTCTCCACTCCTCCTCTCCCCTCGCCCTGCCTGCTTCCGCACGGGAACGAAGCAGCCACTTGTTGTTTATCCGTCTTCCAACATGGACACTCTCAGGGACGCCTACGGTTCTTTCTCGGACTCTGACGAAGAAATCACATGTGAGGTTACGCCGCAAGACCTCTTTGGTGTAAGTAGGGTGAAACGCTGTCCGTTTGTGTCATGAATTATTATCGAAGGGCGAAGCTATGCCCGATTTCGTACCGACTAATGCTCCGTTTATTTTCCCTTTTCCAGCTGTGTGAATCCAGAATCAGTGCCGAATTTTCGCGAGTGTCAGTGTTCCGTTACTCTAAAACCGCGTTCTCGAAATATGTCGCGAGTGTACTGTGTGGGCCAGTGTTCTATTTCCTTGTCTGTTGCGGAGGCTCCGCCGCCGCTGTGTTTTCGCCTTGTTATCGGCGACGATGGAAACTCTGTTTCTGTCACTGTGTTCTCGCCTCGTTTCTGGCGACTCTTTTGCTGTCACTGTGTTCTCGCCTCATTTCTGGCGACTCTTTTGCTGTCAGTGCAGTGCTCGCCTTGCTTGGGCTAAGCCTGCCCATTTTATTTTTTCTCTTCTAGTGTTTGACGGCGTGCTGCGCCGTGTTCATTGTGTTTTTAGATTGCAGTAAATTCCTTAGTATTTTCTCTCATGTCGGGCGGTTTTGGCGTGCCACGCCGTCCCGAATCACTGAAAGTCTGGTTATGTTGTTGTTCATTGAGTTTGGCCAAAGTGTGTGTGTGTGTGGGCGGGTTGGGTTCATCGCCATCTTCTTCACCATGAATGAGTAAGTCAAGCTGTGTCAACAGCTCAACTGTCGGCATGTGTGTGTTTCTCTAATTGCATCTGCACTTTTAAATGCTTTCACTTTCAAGGGTTTTTTTAGAGTGTCTCGCCTTTTTGCTCTGTGCTTTCGTTCACCAACCTAAACTGGCAGTTTGGCTCCTAAGCTTCCATTTTCGGTTCGTGTTTTGTCATTTTCTATGTCATGAAACTTATCCTTTTGTACCCTTAATGGTCTCAGCTCGAAGATTCTGACGACTCCAGTGGCAGCTCCAGCAACAACAGCTCTCCAAACAGCAGCTCCGCCAACAGCACCTCCTCCAACAACAACAACTCCAGCTGCCAGGATGTTGAAGATGTAAGTACTTTTATGTCCTTTTACGATACGTAATTTTTAAAAATCAGTTTTCCATTGTCTTATCTGTGGGTTCTTTTCGTGTCAGGTGGAAGCTCAAGAGATTGCTGCCCTCGAGGAAAGGGAATGCACCTCGATCCCGCAGGTGGAAGCTCGAGAGATTACTGCCCTTGAGGAGGGGGAATGTACCCCAACTCCCCCTTCATCTCCTCAGCCGTTTGTCGATGTAAGTATTAATTTTTTTTTTATTGTCAGTGTCCTTTATGCCCTCAAGTTGCTGTCAGTGACCAAATTGTTATTTTTTATGTTATCAGGTGTTTGTGCCTGCGCCCTCTGATGCGGATGTATCATCATCTCCACGTTTTGAGGTTCCGCCCCCCTCAAATGACCCATTAGGTCTTATGGAGGGCATTTCTTATCCCAGGAAGGGGCTGTTGCCTACTCCACCAAAGAGCTTGTTGTTGCAGCCCTCAGTAATTGATGTAAGTATTAATTTTATATTGTCAGTGACCTTATTGCCCTCAAGTTGCTCCCAATGACCAAATTGTAATTTTTTATGTTCGCAGGTGTTTGTGCCTGCGCCCTCTGAGTAGGCTGTTTCTTCTCCTCCATCGGGGTATATTTCTTATCCAAGGAAGGGGTTGCTGCCCACCCCACCAGGGGCACTGTCCATGCCCGACTTGTCGCTGCCTCCTTGGTATTCCCCACAAAAGGCGCAGCCAAGTGGTGTAAGTATCACTGTGTGTTCGCATCAAGTATCATATTGTATTATCTATCACTCTGTCCTTCTTTCTCACCATTTCCTATGTTTCGTTTTCAGTCTGTCTTCAGTCGTCTTGGTAAAATGTAGCGACACACAAATCGTCCCCGTCTCACGTGCAAGCCTTATCCTCCTCCGGGGTTGAGGCGCCATGGTCCGCCTTCGAATGAATAGACATTCATTCCAAACAAATGGGGAGACAGAAAGTGGAATATGTTTGCACCACCTGCACCACCACCACCACATACAAAAATTATTGCAGTACAATATTTTCACTTCAATTTGTTACTCAAACCATTTCAAAAGTTTGTGAATGATAGCAAGAAAAGGACTTACTAATTGGGCATTGAGAGCGAGAAACCCTTTCCTAGAGTAAAATGATCGCCTCTCTAGATTATGTGGCAGATACGATAATCTGAGAAGAAAGCCATCAATAAGCCCAAGAACTCGTGGCAAACCAAGTTGCTCATTTCTGAAAGCAGAGAAAATTTTAAATTCGAATCTTATGGAAACAAGTACAAATCCTCAAAACAATACACACCTCTGAATTATAGGAGCTCTTTCTTCTCTAGTGAGAGGGAACCTGATGAACCTATTGAGTATTTGTTCGTGGTTTAAAGCAGTCACTATCTCTCTTAGACATCTACTGACTCCTGTCGTCTGACTCACTGCGCTATCGATAGATCGACCCAGCATTCTTTGGTAAGAGCCAGTCGCCAAGAAAGAAAGTGTAATCAAAACCTGTAGGAAAAAGCAATTATGAGGGAAAAAAAGAACCATCTGAAAAGGTCTGGAATAGTATCAACAAACCTTTCGAAACAGTGGAATCTGTTGAGGACTTGAGCGCTGAGGCACAAAAGGCCTTAGGATGTTGCATAAGTCGACCACAGCATGTTGAGGCATGCGATATAATTGCTCAAACATAGGAACACTCATATTGAGAGGGTCATTATTATCCCTAATCCTGAATCGTTCATGAACTTGGTGATTGACCCGCCGTCGGTGTTCTGCTACAATGTTGTGGTCACGATCACCAAAATAGTTGAAGTCTGGAACAAAAAAAAATAGGTTGGTACATTCATCAACGTAAATAAAAAATAAAGTACAAAACACACATTTACCAACCCATTGTAGTGTTTGCCTTAAGTGACAGACAGGTGAAACTTAGGTGATACAGAATCTGTAGGTTTATAGGTTATTCCAGAAATAAACTATTGTTTATCATTCCAGGGACAGACACAACAACCACAGCGCAATGAAAGGTGTGACATATTTTGCGGATCAAAAAATATTGAGTACTTCAGATACACGAAACAAGGAAAACGTAAAGAATAACTAGTTGAATTTGAACTTGTTTTCGTTTTGCTCTAGAAGACCTTCTTGCCGTGTGCCGTGTCTATTAGCAGTAAGAGTGCGAATAGGTAGCGAGTCAGTGTACGCAACGTTCAAGCGGCAGAATTTTGAATAAAAAGTTTTGCCAAGAGTACAAGTAGCCTGCCTTGATTGAAAGGAAAAGAGATGGGCTGTACTTGTAGAAAGTGAGCTGTACTTGTTGAAAGTGTACTGTACTTGTAGAAAGTTCCCATGTTCTGGTTAAGGCATAATTTGGAAAAACATTCAACTGAGCTACAAAAATATTTATTACAAAACGGTATTTATACAGCCCTTACAATTGTACAAAATAAACACTTATTACAAATTGAACACAATATGACAATTTGAACATGAATCATATGTTGTCCTATAGACACTCAGGGACTGTGGTCATACCAAAACTAAATTCAAAGTAGACAATCGTAGTTGACTGAACACAAGTACCTACTTACAAGAAGATGACATCAGAACAACAGTGTCAAGAGCTACCATGTACTTTGGAAATCAACATACATAAAATAAATAAAATGAACCAACTCTCTTGATTGAAAGAATTAAAGATAACAAGAGTGCACTGCACTGGTGGGCTGCACAATGACTGAAAACAGAAGCCCATATAAAAAGGTGCAAGAACAATATGTCAGAGCAAACAAGCCCAAAGGTAAATTGTACTTCAAAATAGAACAAACATGAAATTATTGAAAGGCAGATACTTTGATTCTACTAAACTCGACAAAAACAATAATGGAAATAGAAGGAAATTACTTCAGGGAAAAGCCTCGAATAAGTGTAATCAACTCTTGCATTACTGCAAAATTTGTTTCAATGAGTTGCTTGAGAGAGTCAGTCTCAGGATCCACACGACTGCTCAGCCTGCGTCTGCAGATAGGGGGCGTTGCCATATCCCTGACTGGAGTCTAAAAACACACAAAACAAATATTTATTAAATTAATGTCAGTTTAAACCAACACAACACGTTAAAATAAATGAGCGAAGGGCACCAAAACATACTTCACACTGTTAAAAATGTTATGAATTTTCATTACAAATACGCAAAGAACATCTGAGAAACCAGAACATAGTGAAGATGACTACGGAAGGTTACATTTGAGTTCAGAAGGCAAGGACAATCTAAATGCTGTGACTGTCAGAGTTGTTTCTTGTCCTTTTTTTTTCAAGAACTAAGTATTGCACCTTGACAAATGCATGAAAATCGTCACAAACAGATGTGAACTGGGTCGGAAATCCATCGCACAATGTAAAATACGGGAGGGAAGGACAAAAACCAGAGCACATGTGCAGATGCATCGGGATGTAACGAACGCATCCGGGACCGAACTGACTCCGGACCAAAAGAATGACAACCTCAAAAGTCGCAGATTTCAAAACATTCTATTCGGTATAAACGAAATAGGTAAGAAGCACTAACAGATTAATAAAGTTCGGTGCCTGCAACAAGCCGAGGTTAGGTGGAGTTATTTTAAGGCGATTCTCAAAAGAAAGACTAGGTTTCTGGAAAGAATACCGAAAATGTTCAAAGAAGAGTCATCAAGCTGTGAAAATATCTTACCCATTTCGAAAGATTGGGATTTCCCAAAGACAGAGCAGCAACGCAGGAAATTTCGAGGGACGAATGCCGGAGTCACAGTCAGAGCAAGAGCGTTCGACGAAATGCCGCATGCCCACCAGCAAGGCAACAAAATGAACATCGCGCGTTAGTCTTGGCCGCAGAGTACTCTCCCACAGCCAATATCCCATCGCCACCAGAACCGCCGACCACTACAAGGCCCGACGGGGCGGTGCCGACCGGTGCCGACTACCGAGTGGCCCACGCTAGGCCTCGCGCCAGCCTCGAGTCCCTCTAAGCGATCAGCGGAATCACTCTGCTTGGTGGGCGCGTTGGTGGCCGGGGCTACCTTGGGGGGCTCGGGGGCGACCTTGGTGGGCGCGTTGGTGGCCTCGGCAGATGGCGCGGGGGCCTCAGGGACCACGGCAGCTGGCTGAAACATCACAACATGGAATTAAACACAGCCCTCCGCGCCGACGATACCCCGCGCGCCAAGCTCAGCTGACCAGTCACTACACTGTCGCGCCGCACCGCTAGACCAGCTCTTATTTTGCGAAAGTGAGAATTCCGCTGGGTTCCCCGACTCAAAATGACCGAAATGGTGAGAAAACTCTTAATTTGAAAGCCCAAGGTCGTCAGACTTACCAAAGCCGTGCCCCAAGACCCTATATAAAGGCAAAAAGCCAAATTTTTTTTTCGGATTTTCACCAAATTAAGTTTGACTCTGAGGTAAACAGGCCATAATACGATCCTTTGGGCGAAAATTTCGTCTGTTTTGCGATATCTCGACTCCTCTATGCCCAAGCGGCCTCCCCAACCGCCCGCGCGGCGTCTTTTATATGCTCGCGGTTGGGGAGGCCGTTTGGGCATAAAGGAGTCGAGATATCGCAAAACGGACGAAATTTTCGCCCGAAGGGTCGTATTATGGCCTGTTTACCCTTGAGTCAAACTTAGTTTGGTAAAAGTCCGAAAACAAAATTTGGCTTTTTGCCTTTATTGGCTGAGCGATAGCGAAGCCTGTTACTCAGGTGGGGTTGAAAAATTTTTCCTGTCTGCGTGCGTGCGTGTGTGTGTGTGTGTCCGCGCTACTCCTCCTGAACGGCTCGGCCGATCTCGGTGAGATTTTGCACACTTTTTGGGTATGTCCTTGGCTCGTCACACGCGAAATTTCACTATCCTAGCTGAACTGGTTCGGTTTTTATAGCCGAAAAACACCTAAAAAACGGCGAAAAATCGAGTTTTCTGCAGGCAGATCACTTCTGTCTTGAAGAAAGGGGGGTCTGGGGGGCGGAGCCCCCCAGCCTCGACAAGTTAAAAAGTCAGGCCAATGCAGCCCTAGGCACGAAATCAAATGCTGTTTTGACCTCCAATCACGCAAATCGGTATGCGGGTGCCTGGAAATGAAACCTAGCCTGCCGAAGGCAGGCAAGCGCCGCAGGCCAAGGTAGGTGTAACGCCAGGCGTGGATTGTCGAAACTGGCGCAGCATCGCGAAGCCTGTTACGACAAGACACGGTCTGGCGTACACCTACCTTGTATAGGGTCTTGGGGCACGGCTTTGGTAAGTCTGACGACCTTGGGCTTTCAAATTAAGAGTTTTCTCACCATTTCGGTCATTTTGAGTCGGGGAACCCAGCGGAATTCTCACTTTCGCTAAATAAGAGCTGGTCTACCGCACCGCGCCGCACCCCCCTTCCCCTCCCCCAGCCGCGCCACTGCGCGCCAACAGCTGATTCAAAGACGGGAGGAAAACAGGGAAAAATACAGGATTTTCTGACCAAATTTTCACGCGCCTCGCTCCGGCACAGCGAGGGCAAGACCCTGGCCAACGATTCACAGAGCAAAATATCAGGACGGCAAAAGAAACGCACGTGTTTACATTCGGGGGGAATGCCAAAATGCACACCATTTCGGCCAATTTTCAGTCAAGTTATTGGATTTTTGAGAAAATTTCACCGCGCCTCGCTTCGGAATCGCTCGCCGCTGCGCCAGAACAAGCAGCCGACACGAAAACATTACGAGCTACAAGGAAAACAAAGAGACTTTGTTTTCCACAGGGGGAAGGACACAATGCGCAGACCGATTTTCGCCAAAGTTTTCGGAATTTCGGGAGAATTTCAACGCGCCTCGCTTCGGAAACGCACGCCGAAGCTCCAGAACTAATAACCAACTAGCCAGAAAGACTCCAACCTCCAAAACACGTGTGACCCCGAACGGGCCGCCGCGCCAACGCCCCGCTACACTCTTAGCGCACACAGAAATAACACTTTCCTCAAGAAATTGAGATCACCGCGAGCACGACGCGACAGGGAAAACACAGGATTAGCGAAAACGAAAGCTCAAAAAGAGCCAAAAAGGCGAGCAGCAAGGGCCTGAGGGGCGAGAAGTAAAACGCCGGCGAAAGCACGCTCACACATTTCAAAAAACTCACCTCCACAAAAAATATCTCCTGGGATAGATTCTCTCCCAGAGAGAGCGGCGGAGAAGAAGAGTCGGAAATGTACATATCCTCTAAGAGGGTTTCCATTTTTTCACTCATCAAATCTCTCACTAACGACGACTTCTCACAACTTCTCGACACGCAATGGCGCAACACGGTTCGAACGGTTAGGGGGGTGGGTTCGAAAACGGAACCGGATGAGCGGTCAGTCGGTCACTTTTTTGACCGGCATAATTTGAATTTGAGGACAATCTTATCTGATTTAACACCAAGAATGTGATGTCAACACGTCTAGGATAATATTCCAGATCCATTCGTGGCAGGAAAACGATTGAAAAGAGGTAACAGTGACTCAAACGCAAGGGGGCAAGTAGGTGCTAGTGGCGCGAAAACGGGGCGGAACGGTAGGGGTATTTCGCAACGAGAACGTGAACGTTTTGCCGATGGGCGATTCCATGCCAAACCAACGAACGCTTGGAATTTCATCTCTCCGATTTTGATGAAACTTTTTTTGGGGGTAGGGGTCACCATAAAAAGACCCCCTGCCAAAGGGTTTTGCGATATCTCACCCCGTTTGGCTGTGGCAGGATATCAAAGTTTTAGCTTTAGTCAAAATCATGATATTTTCTTAAATTTCCTCTGTTCTGGCAGATTTTTTTTGGATTTTTTTCCATAGTGTTTTTTTACGTAAAAAGAGCTGGGGAACACGATGAAAACGGTTTCGAGACGATTGGGTGAAGTTTTGATGCCAAAATTTTCATTTTTCGTCATATTTTTTCGAAAAATTACCATTCCCAAAATAGCTTATCTTTGATTTCGACCTAACTTTTACCAAATGATCTCCTAACATAGTGGAACAAAACCCTAAAAGGGTTTGGTCGGCCCGCCTATAGGAGCTGAGAAATCGCAAAAACAAATTTTGAAAAATCACCAAAAACGTGTATCTAAGGTGGTGGTGGTGGTATGGGTTCTTGCCTGCGCTGCGCAGCCGTCTGTTCTGGTCAACATCGACTTCCCCGCTCGGCGTGCGAAGGAAAACCACCCGCCAGGAGCGCCTGTGAAGCTCGGATAGGCAACCCGCAGGCCAGAGTGCGCATGTGCATGCGTTGGGTTGCCTACCTTCCATTACCATTACCACTAAGGGCTAGACCACACATGAGTTAACTGAACTTCACTTGAAAGGCTGGACCACAATCAATCGTGTGTACAAGTCTATGTTTCTTCTGTTAAAATGGTGAACAGTTCATGTTGTAGAGGCGGAAGAAAGGGGGGACAGTTAAACTAGATAACGGTAAATACCCATTACACTCTCATTGCAGGAACGTGACATCACGTTGAAACGAACGTGACAAAATGTCACGTTCGTTTGAGCATTGTGTCACGTTCGTTTGAATGTGAACAAGCTGATTTTTGGCCAATTCACACCCAAACGAATGTGACACAATGCTCAAACGAACGTGACATTTTGTCACGTTCATTTCAACGTGATGTCACGTTCCTGGAATGAGAGTGTATTAACTCAATTTTAATTTTGTACGCAAATGAAAAAAAACCCTCCTTTTTTCAATTTTTTAGAGTTCCTCCCCTTTTCCCCTTTTCTTCTGCCTCTACAACATGAGTTGTTCACAATTTTAACAGAAAAAACATAGACTTGTACACACGATTGATTGTAGTCTAGCCTTTCAAGTGAAGTTCAGTTAACTCATGTGTGGTCTAGCCCTTAGTGGTAATGGTAATAGAGGGTAGGCAACCCAACGCACGCACATGCGCACTCTGGCCTGCGGGTTCACTAAGAATCCAAACGCTATGAGTATAGCGTCAATTGGTGCAATGCAAAAGCATTGCACATGAAGTGCAATGCCTCCCCATCGCCATCCATTAGCATACGGCATTTTCGGGATGCATTGCACGTGAGGTGCAATATGGCTATCGCATTGCACGTGTGGTGCGATATGTCAGCTGCATTGCACCATACGTGCTATACTCATAGCGTTTGGAATCGCAGTGTTGCCTATCCGAGCTTCACATGCGCTCCTGGCGGGTGGTTTTCCTTCGCACGCCGAGCGGGGAAGTCGATGTTGACCAGAACAGACGGCTGCGCAGCGCAGGCAAGAACCCACACCACCACCACCACCTTAAATACACGATTTTGGTGATTTTTCAAAATTTGTTTTTGCGATTTCTCAGATCCTATAGGCGGGCCGACCAAACCCTTTTAGGGTTTTGTTCCACTATGTTAGGAGATCATTTGGTAAAAGTTAGGTCGAAATCAAAGATGAGCTATTTTGGGAATGGTAATTATTCGAAAAAATATGACGAAAAATGAAAATTTTGGCATCAAAACTTCACCCAATCGTCTCGAAACCGTTTTCATCGTGTTCCCCAGCTCTTTTTACGTAAAAAAACACTATGGAAAAAAATCCGAAAAAAAACTGCCAGAACAGAGGAAATTTAAGAAAATATCATGATTTTGACTAAAGCTTAAACTTTGATATCCTGCCACAGCCAAACGGGGTGAGATATCGCAAAACCCTTTGGCAGGGGGTCTTTTTATGATGACCCCTACCCCCAAAAAAAGTTTCCTCAAAATCGGAGAGATGAAATTCCAAGCGTTCGTTGGTTTGGCATGGAATCGCCCCTTAGTAATTCTTTGACGGAAATAATTCGAAGGAGAAGGTCTCTGTCAGAATATAGAAAAAGTGT